CTGGGCTGGCTCCTGAGGGCGGGGGGGGGGCTGTGTGCGGTGGCGCGCCCCAAGCGTCTGTCACAGGGCTGCTGCCTCCCCCCGAGGCGTGGGTGCGAGGGACAGAAAAACGTGAAAAAACAGAATATCTTCTGATTCTCCCAGCTGGTATTAGACGCGAGGAAAAACTGAGGTTGGGAGCGGGAGGCTGCGGCCGCAGGAGGTGAAGGTGCTTGGGTTCGCTGGGCGTTGGTAAGGTTTGTCCGGGGTTAACGGGCTTTGTTAAGGACCGGTGCAGGGTAGGTGGAAGGCAGGCTGAAAGCAGGTAACGTCAGCACTAACGTTATCGCAAACGCGGCGTTGACCAGAAATGACGGCGCAGCAGCTTCAGGCTTGGGGTTCTGGGGTGACTGCAGGCCTGCGCCCCGGCCTCCCTCCGCCCGGCGCGGCGCGCCTCGCTCTCGGCAGGTTTGGGGGCGTGGGGCTGCCCCGTTCTGAGTGTTGCCAGAGAGGCAACCGAAGCCGGTTGCGCACAAGTTTGGCCTGTTTCCAGTTCCTTTCCTGCTCTGGTCTTATGCTGATCTGTAATGCCCATACCGTAAAATCTAAATTCTTAGCCTTTGCCCATATTTCCCTTCCTTGGCAGGCCTCACAGTGGTTAGCTGCGATCCAGTAGGTGCAGGTTTCTATCGGTCTGTTAATGTTTGTTTTAAATTATAAACAAACATGGAAATCAAAGGCTAAGCAGATGAGAGTCTGCTTTCATATTTGATCCTGGAGCAATGTCACATGTGTGCCCAACCTCATGTCTACCCTTGGTACTAATGCAACTGATTAGACAATTTCCATGTTTTACAATAGCAATCAGCAATTAATGGAAACAATATAATCACAATTAACTATAGGCTGGATAAATCAGTGCAGTGCTGCGTCAGCCCATGGGGACCATCCTCTAAAGCTGTGGCACCCATGGTGGACTGTAAATGTTTGTGTTTCCAAGCCAGCCTCTTGATTTCTCCATTAGCACACGTAACCTCTGTTGATACTATTGATGCTCTCTTTCCGGAATCCTGTGGATGCTCTTGAAATCTCTGTGTTTTCCATTAACGTGTCATTTTCCTTCCCCATTAACTCCCAAGGCATTGTTAAAATTTAGAGGATCGAACTGGTATTTAGTTATATCATGCTTTGCCTTTACAAGTCCCTTCGTCTCCTGTGGAGATAAACACAGTATATTTGCACTAATGAAGGGGAAAATAACTTCCTAAATGCCTCACAACTACATAAAAGCTGATACCACTATTGCTATTTTCCTTTGTTCTTGGCAGCTGTTACTTTGTGCATGTACTGCACCTGCAACGCTGCTGTGTTTAATGTCACAAACCCGAGGTGCTGATAATGCTTTGCAGTGTGAAATGCAGCCTGGCTGGTAACATCAGCTGGCAGCATCCCATAGCCAAAATTGTCACCAACAATAAATGGCAGCGGCCGGATAGGACACAGGCATCTTGTTTGTGACACGGAAAGGTTTTCTGTGGTATTCATATGCCCTGCTTATATCTTGGCTCTGATGGTCTTGTGTCCTGGTTTCAGCTGGGATAGAGTTAGTTTTCTTCTTAGTAGCTGGTAGAGTGCTGTGTTTTGGATTTAGGATGAGAATAATGTTGATGACGCACTGATGTTTTGGTTCTTGCTGAGCAGAGTTTATACCAGTCAAGGACTTTTCAGCTTCTTGTGCTCTGCCAGGTGCATAAGAAGCTGGGAGGGGGCACAGCCAGGACGGCTGACCCAGACTGGCCCAAGGGCTATTCCATACCACATGACGTCATGCTCAGTATATAAGCTGGGGGAAGAAGAAGGAAGGGGGGGGACATTGGGCATGATGGCGTTTGTCTCCCCAGGTAACTGTTATGTGTGATGGAGCCCTGCTTTCCCGAGGATGGCTGAACACCTGCCTGCTCCCCCATCCCACCAGGGGGGAGTGAGCGAGCGGCTGTGTGGTGCTTAGTTGCCGGCTGGGGTTAAACCATGACATCTTGATACCATACGTAAGTCATTTATCCTAAAAATAAAGATTATGTCTGTGGTATCTTGCTCCATGTTAGGAGTCTTACATGTCATACACAGATCCCTGAGCACAAGTAACATGGGGTTCCTTGTGCTGATACGGGTTCTGTGGTGCTGAACCACGAGACGTATCTGTGTAGGCATGCTGAACATGGGGCTGGCCGTGGTGTAACCCATAAAAGTGAAGCACCTCCCCTCCCGATGGGGAAAAAAGCCATTTCAGCTGTGTTTTGCTCCTAAGTGCTTTCTGTACAATCCTCCTCTCCTGCTACACTGAGCTATACTTTCTCCAAATTGTACTGTGAGGAATAGTGCAGTCCCTCCACTGCACAGACTTCTATCAGTGCTAAGCTTTCCTTACGTTACACTGGTGTCTGCTCCAGGACCTGATGCTATGTAGTGGCTAGTAGTTGCATTTTTAGCTGGCATACTGTTGACCCAGCAGCACTGATGATTGTAACGAGCCCTTCTCCCTTTGGTTTCTTTCCCACCTTTAAGCACTTTACTGAGCCCCCATGTGCCCTTGAGCTGGCTTCTAGGAGCCTGCGGGCATCTGAGTTTTAAGTAATGCCTCCCCAGTTTGCACTTTGAATATTGCTATATCTTCTCATAGCAGTTTTCTGCAGGGAATTTAACAGTCTTGGTGTTGGGCCTCATAAAGTTAAGCTCCATCCTTAAAAGTAATGGACTTGGAAGAGGGGAGGGGAAACAACCTCATTTTCATTTGAGACCTGGATCAGACACCTGTCAATGTCAGAGGAAGCTGTTCTGCCTGCAGCCTTTCAACTGGTATATTTTAAAGCCCAGTTTGTTCTTTCTCCTTCTCCAGAGGCCCGGGGATGGTACTGCACGTACCAACCACCATGTCTGGATGCTCTGAGACACCAGCTGCGATGACATCTCCCATGATGACGGGGCCTTGGCCAGCACCAGTTATCTGTCAAGTCCCATGTCACATAAACACTACCTTAACAGCAGCATCTTCATACCTTCTACCCTGGAAATACCTGTCACTACTAAAAAGTATCTCTGTCCTCCTTTGGTTTGGGGTAGTTTATCAATATATAAATATATAATCCACCTGGGGCTGGGCCTCAGGATCATCTTTTCTTTGATGGCAATGGCAAAAATTCCTCTTCCTAGGCCTTCGTGATTGCCTAGCTACTCTATAAGCAATGTGGGCTGTTTGTCCTCCCTGTTCTAACTCTTGCGTGAGGTCCTTCTGCTCCTCCCTGTTAACACCCATGAATTAGAACAATTCTTTTCTTTTTCAGAAGTCCCCATTCCTCCTCGTTCCTGGTTTTTATTTCTCTTGACTCGACACCATGCCCTGCTCACCAGCACCGTTCCCAAGCTTTCAGAAGGGACAGCCCTCACAGCCCTGCTGTCCACCGCGGGCCCCCTCGGGCCCACCCGCTGGCTCTGGGTCTCCCAGAGTACAAGTCCAGCTGGTCAGGTCTCACCTGTGCAGGAGGCAGCGGGGACGGAGACTTCTGCAAAGAGCCCCTCTTTGCCACATCATGCCCAGACAGCCCCCCACCCTCCGCAGTACACAAACTGGTGCAGGAACCAGCCTCTGATCCCCATTCATTGGCCCTAAGGTGCGTGTGTCGTCCCTTCCCGCAAAGCACGGCCAAGATCCCAAATCTGTGCACAAAATGATAACATTTATTGAAAGAGTAAGTTTTTTTTAATACAAAAGAAAGCTCTGTACATAGTACTGTGATTACTTCCACATCCTTCCAGAAACACAACCCTGGAAACTGGAGGGAAAAAAAAAAAAAAATAATCCCACACACACTTATGCGTACACACGCGCACACACGCACACACACACACAACCCTCAAACCAGTAAAATGAACTAAAAATGTCACCACACAATAAATGCCATTTCATCCCTGATACACAAGTGTTCTTACAAGTCTGCACTTAAATAAAATACACCATTAGCGTTTAACCAGCAGTTGCCTTTGGGGAGCCAGGGAGGGGATGCAGTCAGACACCCTGTAGCGAGCAGGGGCGCTCCTGCCATCCCGGCCCAGCAGCTCTGCTCCACAGTGCTGGCACAAGCAAAGCGGAGCAAAGCCAGGCCACAGTGATGTGCTGGGGCAAAGGACAATGCAAACTCCAACCCCATCTTTCTCCCTGGACAAACTCCAAGGTACCCAGCCTTGTTTTGGAAGCGTCACTGAGCAGCTTTCACACACCTAGCAATGGGGCACGGCACAGCACTCCCACGTGCTCCGAGCTGCGGAGTACGCCTCACTCTTAGAGCAAGGGTACTAAGGGGAGGCAGCACGAAATGTCACCCTCACCAGATGGGCCACCCCACTCCCCACGAGCCCTTCCCAGGCCACATAACAGACCGAGGGCTGAAAGACCGTTCTGGGAGCTCTTTGCACAGGGGGGCTTGGAGGGGACCCCTCCACATCTGTGCACTAAGGAACGGCTGTAGAGGGGGAACTACAGCCCAGAGCATCAGCTAGGAGTTCAGGAGATGCTACCTGCACAGTGAGCAGGGATCAGCCACCACTGGCTGGTCACCACCCAGGGAGGAGTGGGGATGCCCATATCCCTTAGGCAGTCACAGGTAGCATTGCTCCACACCAAGAGCAGTGACAGAACAACCGCAGGTCCCAGGACCAGAGGTGAACAGGGCAGCCATCAGAAAATCCAGCCCATCTCTGGCTCCCAGGCACACTGCAAGCCCCTTGCCCCTGAAGGATGGGTTTCCCACTTTTAGAGACCAGCCACTGTTTCACTTGCCTTCTGCCCGGTAAGCCCAAAATGATGGGTATGGAGTCCTCAGTACAGCTCAGTGGGAAACAAGCATCCCACTTGGTTCAGCTTGATCCCTGGCACATGCTGGTGGGTGGAGAGCGCAGCTTAAACGCTAATGCTGAGGGAACATGTCCAAGATTACAATACAAACTCAAAAGCAAGGCCCCTTTCCTGCCTCCATGCCCACCCACCCCTCTCCCATCCCCCTGGTACAAACCCCATGAAAACTGTACAGGAGCCAAACTTTTATTCCTTAAAGAATTACATAAATACTGAGTTTAACACTTAGAAAAATAAAGTCATTTTCTTTTTTTTTTTTCTTTTTTTTTTCTTTTTTCTCCAAGGCTTCTTTTGTCTTTAACTTAAAAAAAAAAAAAAAGTTACAGTAGCTGCTTCTTCCCCTAAGGATTCAGCAGCTTCTCTCACTTGCTCACTCTCCCTCCAGGGACAGGGCTAGGTAGCAGAGCCATTCACAGCAACTCCCATGCAGGACCAAGCATGCTCCAGCCCTTCTCCCCCAGTCTTCCTGAGCCTGCACAGGCATCACAGCTGCTCCTCCACAGCGCAGCATGGCCTGCAGGTCACCCTGGTGCTCGTAGGAAGAGCCTGCCACCTGCCCAGCAGCTCAGTGCCCCATGGGCTCTTCCCTTTGACACTTGAGTTGTTTCTCCACCTTGCATCAGACACAGAAATTTAGAAAGCGCTGGCTGGAGCTGCAGGGGGATGCGGGAAAGACCCGGCCATGTTCCCCTGGGTGTACGGAGTCCGCAAGCAGTGCGAGGGCTGAGAAGAGAGTGTGGGGCTGGGCCGGCCACAGAGCCCCCCAGGAGCTCTCCAGGGCATCGTCGTGCTCCTGGGCATCCACCGACCGCCTCAGCTGTGCGAGGGCAGCCACCGGGGCAGAGCCAGGCAGGCTGCAAATCTGCCAGGCAGCCCAGCGAGGAGGCACTGAGGGCAGAGGGCTCACTGTAGTGCATACAAGGAGGACGGGGCCACGGGCTACAGGCTGTGCCCTGCCCTCCAGAGGGAGGGCGCGCAGGCCCAACCAGAGATGCACATGCAAGCTGGCCACTCTCCCCTGTCCAGAGCCCAGGGCGAGTTGCTGCGGCCAGGACCTGTCACCCCCACAAAGGCACATTGCTGAGGCCAGCAGCACAGCCTCGGCCCGCTCCGCTCCGAGCTGCGCCCGCAGGACGGCTCTGGGTCTGAGCCGAGCCTCACGCAGAGCAAACACTCATGGGCAAGGTGACTCGGAGCGCCCAGAAGGAGCCAGAGCCTCCAGCTGGGAATGGCCCGCAGTATTTATTTACAGCGCAGAGCAGTCCTCCCCTCAAGAGACAAGTTTCTTTGGCTGGCGTGAGACAAGCACAGCTATTGCAGCATCCAAACGCCCCCAAGCCCTGCACGGCCCCAGCACAGCTCCACCCTAGGTGGGTCCTGCAGCCCCACGCGCATGCCTGTGTGTATGTGTGTGTGTGGGTGGGTGGGTGGGTGCGTGTGTGTGTGTGTGTGCATGTGTGGATGAAGGAAACGTGAAAAGGCAACAATAAATAACTGGTGCAGTCTGTACGAGAAGGAATTGCCGCCAGCCCCGGCACTGGCATGACAAGCCAGGGACAGCACAAGGCCGGCAGCAGAGGCCTCTCAGTCACTCTTGGCGCTGTGTGAGGTGTCCAAGTTGACCACCTGCAGCTCCGTCAGGCTGCTGCCACTGCTGCTCTGCTGCCCGATGACAGCCATCTAGAGAGAAAAGGGAGGAGGAAGCACTGGGGTACAGCATGCCCTGAGACCATGTGTGCCAGCAGCCAGGGTGGCACTGTCCTTTCTGGGCACCTGTCCAAGGAGGGCAAGACTTCCTCACCCAAGAGTGGGTGGCACTGACAGCTTTCCCAGACCTGAGGACTGGCTCTAGCCAAGGGCCTGGGTCTGCCCAGACCCGCAAAGGATGTGCAGGCAGGGACAAAGCAAGGACACCCCCTGAACACCTGCGAGTACCACTCTGCGCCTACCTGGTGAAGCTGGACAGCTGAGACTGGGATCTGAACGGTGCCTGATGGGGCTGTCAGGAACACTTGGGGAACGCCACCTGCCACAAAGAGAGAGCACAAATGACACCGTCCCTTAAAGAGTGCTCCCCCACGCGTCCTTTCTCTGAGCTCCATGGAGCTTCACAAAGATGAAGATGCCTGTTCACATGCATAGAGGCATCCCAGTAGGGAGCCGCATGTGCTAGTTTTCCAAATGCTGGGAGAAGCAGGCACAAGCCCTCAATCCAAGTCTTGCCTGCATGGCTTCATGCTGCTTTGCCCCCTCATGCAACCACACGTCCTCTCCAGAGCCTCCTAGCTCCCTCCACTGCCTGCCCCATACGCCACCCATCCAAGCAACCCTCACCCTTCTTCCCCAGCAAGCGGCTCAAGCAATCCTTTGCGCAGGACAACGGGGCAATCTAAAAGCACGCATCGAGCATCGCCCTTGCCAGGCCTTTGTACAGCCACTAGGACTGCTTAGAAGAAAATTCTTTGAAATTAATATACAGCACAAATACATGTGAGACAAGAAAAATCAGGGTGTCAGAGCACTTAAGGGAGCACTGACCCAGACAGCTGTCTTACCCTGATCCTGGACCTGGCCGTGGGACACCTGCATCGCTGAGGGCGCCTGTGAGAAAGCGTTGAGGACTGCAAGTCCGCCGTCCGCAAGGCCAGGTGTGGGCGCGTACATCACCGCATGTGGGCTGGGGTACATCATGTGGCCACCCACAGTGGTTGGCACAGACGACGTCATGATGGTCGCCGGGAGGGTCACTGGCACCAGGACAGACTACACGTGAGCCACACGAAAGGAGTCTGCTACATTCAAACGCCTGCTCAGCACCCCTCCCTCAGCCACCCTTGGCATGCTGTCCTGAAGCAGCAGGTGCACGGAGAACCCGTCTTGTTCTCCCAAGCTCCTGGGGAAAAGCCCCAGGGAACAGGCAGGAGAGCTCAAACCTCTCCTTTCATGAGTGAGTATGAGAGGGCAGAAAAGCACAATAGCCAAATATCCCAGGACTGAATTCAACTTGAGATACAAGTTTCCTGATGAAGCTTTATTAAAGCTGTTGAACTGGATTCAGCCTGCATCCAGGCACCTGAACTCAGATTTTGCTGGCAACAGAGGTGTCTTCTGCATATACAGTAAAAATCTCAAGTAGATGTGAGCCAATGCTCACTAAGAAACCACCTGAGAACTGGACAACCTGTTCCCAGCTCCATGCTGCAAGTAAGAGCAGATGATGTATCTGGAGAGGCTCCGAAATCCCTTGTAAGGTGCCCTACGCGTGGCAGCATCTACCTAGATATAGCGTAGCACAGGGGCTGGCAACAGGGATAAATACACCTGGGAAACTGTCAGAAAGACTGGGATAGAGTTGGTCTGAAGACAGATCCTGAGCAGGGAGCAGGCATGAGGTCTATTAGTGTGGGTTGTTATCAGCAGTGGTTAGGAAGACAGAACATGGTTACCGTAACGTCCCAATTACCTGTTCCACTGGAAGAGGTCTGGGTAAGGTCAGTGCTGCTGTCACTAGAGGGAGACGTTTGCTGCGGTGCCTGGTGCACCTGGATCGCCTGGACTGGGACCTGCTGAGCCATGGTACCACCTGGGGAGAGAGAGGAGCCCGTGAGCCTGTGGCTCAGCAGGGATACCAGCACTCTGGGCCATGGGAAAGCCCCCCAGTCCTTCTCTGGCCACACATGGCTCCGCAGCGCAGCTCTGCACTGTGCTGGGGAAGGCTAGCCAAGAGCAGCACGTGGCAGAAACCAGGCCCTGCCCTAAAGAGCAGGCGAAAACCTGCTGTTTCCTGGCACACAGGGGCCAAGGAGGGGTTAGCTGGCCCACAGGGTTCCAGAGAGAAAAGGAAAGGCCACAGCAGCTTTTTTCCAGCTCCCAGGCATGGTTCAGGAGTGTCTGGGGCCCTCCTCACCATTCCTGGCTCCGCCAAGACACGACACAGAAGATGTTGGGAGGAGAGGGCCCAGCACATGCCCCCAGCACTGCCCATGCTCAGCCAGCCCTGCAAGGACCATCTCACCGCAACGAGCAGAACTGCGAGAGCCCAAATGCCCAGGCCAGCTGGGCCCCGCTGCCTTCACACTCTGGAGCCCAGCTCCATCCTCCACAGGGCACTCGGGGAACAGCTATCTCGCTCAGCTTGCGATCTCAAGACATCACAGTGCTCTACACAGGGATTACAGACCACTGGGCCACAAGGCGTGCATCCCAGAGCTGTGGGGGCACGGCCACACAGCCTCCGGCTGAGCCCACCCACTGCAAAGCTCTTCAGCTCCAGAGATGGAGCTCGGCACAGAAAGCTCCCCTCAGGCTCAGGTCCTGTCTCCAGAGGGAAGAGCAAGGGATGCCAGAGAGCAGGAATCACCGGCCACCTCGCTCAGACTGGGCATCTCCCCACGCACCACACCACAGAGACACACGTCTGTTATTCTCTTGGCTCCTCCAGATCACAGGGAAATCCAGTTCCCTCGCATGGGATCACGCTGTCTGCCAGGGCCCACGGGAGCCATAAGGGCTCCAAGAAAGCACGCAAGCTATCAGACTCATCGACTTGGGCACAAACAGGCAGGACGCAAGAAATACTCTCTCTCTCAGTGCTGGTCCTCAGATGATGGCTGCCCCCAAAACAGAGAGCCTAGCCCTGCTCTGAAAATCCATCCAGGAGCTTGTCTAGCCGCAGTATAACACCTGGGGAGCCTTTACTCAGCACAACAAGAAATTCCTGCAAAGGACAATGCACACAAGGCAGCACAGCAGCACCGCTCCCTCCTCTGCTCTGGGTCTCTCCTAATCTATCCTCTGCACCGTGGTTCAGTGACTAACTGCAGATCCAAATACAAAACCAAGGGCAGCTGCTCAGAGCCAAATGCCAGCACTCAAAAAACCATCCACTGGGCATCTGAGCTCCTTCCATCAGTCCTCCTAGCAGCACAGTTCAGCCTCAGCACAGCTGCACCAGGGACCTGTCTCCTCTGCATTTGCTAGTTGCAGGGCAAACCCTGGGGCAGGAGACTGACAACCCACTGCTTCCTTTGGTCTGTATCCCCCAGGATGCTGCTCCTGCCTATGCCAAGCATTCTCTGCCCTGTCTTCCCATCTCTCCCCTTCAGCCACAGCCAGGGTGCCCTGTGCTCTGCCTTCTCTGCGCTCCCACCTCAGTTGGGGGTCAGCTCTCTGACCAGGACCCCCACAGACGCCTCCATCCCCCCACCTCAAGCAAGCGGAGGAGAAGCGAGTGCTGACCTGTCAGCGACACGATCTGCCCTCCAGCTCTGGCAGGGAAGCGGAAGACTGTCTGTTGTGCCTGCTGCAGCTGTCCAGCCGTACCCGTGACCACCTGGCCCTGCTGGCTGGAAAGAGCCAGGGAGTGCGGCTGTAACTGAGTGAGAGGAATGGTAGGGGTCCCCGGAGAAAGGGAAGCACCTGCCGAAAGGAGGGAGAAAGAAAGGCTTTGTCACCACCAGCTCTTTTCACTCCCTCCAGGCTTCTCGGTGCTGCCCTGGGGTCCCAGCTCAGCTCCCTGCCACCACGCCCTTCCCAGCCGCAGGGCCAGCTAGCAGCACTCTAAGGAAACAGTCACTACATGACCCTTCTCCAGTCACTGGCCTGGCTGGGTTGGAGCAAGGAATCCCAGCCAGGTTCACCCTACAGCAGCAACCACTCTGCTTCCTCCTGCCACTAGGCCTCCTCTCCTCTGGAGAGGGCAGCAACACACTCCAGGTGCAGAGACGGACGGATGCAGCCCTCAGCCCCTAAAGGCACTGACCTGACATGAGGGTGAAGCTGGTGGGTATTGGCATGAGGCCCCCAGATGTCACTGCACTGGCTCCAGTAGTCTTCAGCACTGTCCCGTTGGCACTGGTGACGGCATTGGGGCTGATGCTGGCAGACACTGGCGCCAGGTAATTAGTGATGGGGAATGACGGGCCACTGCTGACCTGCATGGAGGTTGAGGTGGTGGGGGCTGTCTGGATGGTGGATGTTGTCCCCGGCAGGTTGGTGACAGTGAACGCTGGTTTCAGTGCGTCCTGGGGAAGGAGAGATTGTGACAATTCAGACCAGCCCTTGGATCTGGTCAACATCTGCCCACGAGACCAAACCAGGCTCCATAGGTTGCATCCTCGTGCTAAACCATACCCCCATAGCCTGCTGCCAGCACATGGAGCAGAGCCAGGGTAGCAGAGAGGAGTTGCTTGTACAAACATGAGGAGAGCTGGAAAGAGCTCAGCGTAAACCTTGGATACAAGCCCAGGGCCACACGGGTCCCCTGAGAGACTTCCCTGCAAGACACCAGGGGACGAAGCAACCCTTCCCCTCCCCAGGAGTCCCCATAGCCTCTAGGAAGAGAGCAGCCTCTTCTTGGCACACAACAGGCAAAAACAGTCCTTGCAGGGACAGACGTAAAGGCAAACACACTGTCTCCTGTCAGGAACACACACCACTTCCCTTACGGCAGGAAACACATGGCCAAGAACAAGCCGAGAACTGGCTCTTAAAGGCAGCTGTACACCGAAAGCAGCAAGGGAGAGGTAAGGCCAAACCCGGACACCAGGGAGGCCCAAACCCAGCCCTGACAGCTGCTTTGGCAGACCCTGGAGAATGCCTCCACAAATCTCCTGGAGCAAAGGGGAGAACCTGGCCAGGGGAAGCACCCGTTTGCCAGTCCGCTAGCAAGAGATGGGCAAGAGGCAAACGCTTCCAAGGGACCCCGCATGTTAGCTACAGCCAGCACGCACCATGGTCCTGCAAGGAGCATCAGAGCTCTATGCCTGTCTGAGGACAGCATCACCAGGGAAGCAGAGCACCAGGAGAGAAAGGGCCCTGTGCTGGGCCAATGCTAGCCCGAGATGCTGGCCTCCTAGGTCTGGGAAGGAGGAACATGTATGCCACGCTGCAGGGCATGTAACACCCCAGTTTCTGCAGCCACAAAGCATGTGGCTGGATGTGGCTTGGATCTGCAGGAACCAACCAAGCCCAGCATGATCCCGGCTGCCCCTGGCAGTCACACTTCACCTAACATACCTCCTTCCCCCAAATCCCCTTCTGGATACCCACGGTCTCCGTGGCTCCTCTCCTGCCCTGCTCAGCTGGCCAAGAGCAGACTGCAAATACACTGCTCCACAGGAGACCATGCCACCCACCACACGGGACCTGCTGTCCCCGTGCCCTGCCACGGCTGCCGGCACGCCTGGGAAGAGTTAAGGCTGCCACACTCCCACCCCTCCCGCTGAAGGCTGGTGGGCCCAGCTCTCCCACGTGCTAAGCCTTGTTCCCAGCTTGTCAAGCTGCCAGGAACGAGGAATTCACAGCTCAACGAACAGCTAAAAAAGGGAAGGCAGCCCATTTTGGACAGGGGGAGCCAATCCTGGGCACTCAGCCGTGCCCCAGGGCCTGGGGAGGGAGGAGAGTAACGCCCCTCCGCTTTGGCACCGCAGTCCCTGAAGTCCGAATTAGAAGAGGCACGTGATAACAGAGCGGAGCCCAGCAGAGGCACTTTCCATTAGCTCAACCACAAACTCCTGCCAGCCCACATGGGACGTGGAGGCTGTGGGCACCCTCCCCACATGGGTGACAGGGCAGAGCTCCCCCCAGCCCACTAGGCCATGGGAGCCATAGCAGAGCAGGGCGGGTCTTGCTCCCAGCTGGAAAAGCCAGGCTCCCTCATCCCCAGGCATAGCCCTGAAGCCATACACCCCTGAGCTATAATCCCCAAGCAGCCAGGGCACTTAGCATCCCCCCACATTCCCTACTCTCAGGGCTGGAGGAGGCATCCCAAAAGATTTACAGCACCCTACTCGGGGGATTCCCAGGACTCCCTAGAAGCACTAGGGCAAACCTCAGTATGATCAGAGCAAAGGTGCTTGGGAAGGATTCTGTGCTGGCAGGCTCAAAATATGCATGCCCCATCTCTGCCCTCCCTACTCTGCCACAGGTGAGACTCAGATTCCTCCCATCTTTGCTGTGTTTCTCTTGGGCTGCAGCAATAGCTCCCAGTACAGAAAGAGAGCTGGGAGACACCTTGGGATTGGACACCCGTTGCCTTCTCCCCATGCCTGCCTGGGATGCCTCAGAGCCCCTGGGCACCTCCGCTCCCCCCAGCACCCTGCAAAGCCTAGACTACATGCTCGAGGCCAGCCTTCAACAGGAGCCAAGTCATGGGTCACCTTCAGCAGAGACTACCCAAGGGGCCATGGACAAGCCCTGAGGCAGCACAGCAGCCCTGAAGGCCCTTCCCTTCCTGACCCAGCTGCACATCCATTCCCCACCATAGCTCACTGCAAACTTCAGTTTGCAGAGCAGTGCCTGGGGAATCAACATGCAGCAGAGAGGTGCAGCACAGCAGCAGGAGATGTCTGCACAGACCCACGCCACTCTGCATACTTGATAAACGCTATAGAGCATGAGCGGATCACAGGGCATGGCCCAGGCCACCTGATGCCCATCCCGGACCATAGTAGGGTCTCGGGGACAGAAACAATCCCACTCTGCAGCTTCTGGGGGCTGCGTGGGACAATGCTGCTCAGCATGGCCCAGACCCCCCAGCCAGCATTATTATGCAGATATTGCAGGACATCCGGCCTTGGAGGTACATGGGAAATCCCCATCTGGTCTCCAACACCTGGTCTGCATTCCAGATGAGGCAGAAAGTCCCACCTTTCCCTCACCCCAAAAAGAGATGACCAGATCAGGGCTACTCCCATGCTCTCACCCCAATCTAGAGCCCCTGAGCTTCCTCCAAAATCCCCTCTCCCACATAACCCCACCCAGAAGAGTACATGAGGGCAGTGTGCCCTTTGGGGCCCACAAAAGGTCGGACAGGTCAATGCACGACAGTATCATCGTGAGCGTATAGCTGCTGTCTTGAAAGCATAGCATGGCCCGGTCCCAGCTGCAGTCCGAGCTCAGCTCCATGGCAGGGAGTTTGGGTTTGGCACAGCAGGAGGATCTCATCACTGCTGCTGGCTGTAGTGCAAAGGAATACCAGCAGGCTGCTGACTGCAGGTAACAGCCTGGCTGCATTGCTCCCTCCTCTGCTGCAGCAGCTGAACACAAGCAGGTTTTGTCCATACAGAGGTCCAGGAAGCAGAGTTCAGAGGAAGGCCAGGGAGCAACTGCCCAGCCCTCTCAGAGCATCCGATGTGGCTGGACCTGACAGTCCAGGCGCTAAATTTCCTGCCACCTCCTCTAACGAGGCACCCGTAACCCAGCCCTGCGTACCACCCACCCCTCGGCAAGGACGCCAGCCACCCAGCACGGCCCATCCACAGGCTCCCTTCGTCCTCAGAGGGCTTCTTTGTCTATCTGAACTGGGCTGATCTCTGCCAGAGCACCAAACCAGGCTTCCAGCCCTGCAGAAGGCACAGGAGAACTGGGAAGAGTCAGGGTGGGGACTGTCCCCAGCCCCAGGGCTTGCTGTGACGAGAACCCTTAGCAGGCCAGGTGTGAGTTTAGCCAGAATGCCAAGCAGAAGACAGGGCCACAGGGCTCCTCCAGCCCCACACCAAATGCTGGCTGGGGCCACAAGGCACCCCACACCAAGCATTACCACTCATGGGTACTGGGATGGAGCTTGCAGGGCACTAAGTGGGGGCTGCATTAGAAAGCGGGCAGAGAGAAGCTGTGTTAAGAAGATCTCTGCAGAGTAACTGCACCCCCAGAGCACGCTTCCTTTGGAGCCATGTAGCTGTATTTCCAAGGAAAATCTTAAGGGACATGATGTGGACAAGCCCCATGCCAGGGACAGGTCAGCTGCCATGCACAGCGCTTCCCGCGCCTCCAAATTACTCCAGGCACAGGTAATTTGACTCATTACAAAATGCCCGCAGGACTTGCCTTTTCATCCAGGAGAAGGCCAAGAGACACAAGTCCTTACAAACACAGGCTGCACAAGGGAGAAATTGCTGGCAACAGTGGGCTCCTCTGCCTACTGGCAAGGGCTGGCACAGCTCACACTAGGAACCAGAGGCACCCAGGGGAGTCACGCCAGGCTGGGACAGCCAGGGCTGTGCTGGGCTCCCATCAGCAGG